TTTTAGATTTTTTATATTTAAAATGAGATGTTTATCCTGTATTTGATTGTGTTTATCTGCAGTTAGTTACACGAATTCAGATATGAATGAAATCGGATAGGAATGAAATCGTTTAGGGATGAACGGGTTTAAGATTTTTTTAATAGTTTTAGCCAAATGTTTTATAAGATAGTATAGACTATTTAAAATTTCTCGTTATTCTTCTCTATTTCTTTAATTTAATTTTGGTTTAATAATATAATTTTTTATAAAGATAATAATTAAATATTTTGTTAGAACTCAATGATTATCCTAATTATATTTTAGATTCTTTATATTCAAAATGAGATGTTTATCCTCTATTTGATTATATTTATCTGCAATTAGTTACATGAATTCAAAAATTAAACTTAAATAAATTATATATATATACAGTTTATTTGTAATCTTAAATTTTAAGTAATATATGTATCAATAAACAATATTTAATACATAAAAAATGGTTTTTAAATTTTTTTATCAAATACTTTATAATCTAATATAAATAATTGACCTTAATTTCAATTTCACACTTACTTTTTCTTGCTTTCAAGTTTTGCTTGATGCCGACAAAGCGGAAATCCAGATGAAAATGTAGTAAATTACAAATTTGTCCCTATCCCACATGTTATCGAAACTATTTCTCGTATTTATATGCAATATACATTTTGAGAGAATGGCACGGATTTTATGCCTTGAAATGCGAATATGATATGTATCACATTATCGTAAAATTGGTTTTATAAGACGTTTAAAATTAAACATCTTAATATAATAATTTTATAAAAATTAAGTTTATAAGACCAAATTATAAAACGTCATATCTAAAAGTGTTATAATATGTTTGTAGAATGTATTTGTTTGTATTAACAAGATTTTAGGACCTTTTTTTTAATATTAGTGTCGTATTAGTTATTTTATAGGACATTTTTAAGAAATATCTTATTAAATCCATCTTTTTACAGGACAATTTTTCAAATATTGTCCTATAAAACAGCTAATACGATACTTTATTTAAAAATTGTTATAGAACACTTGTTGAAACGTTTGAAAACGTTCTATAAAACCAGTTTTTTTTATTTATTAACCTAGATATCCAACTTGCTATGCCAGCCGAATAATCCCAAGCGAGTAACCCGGAGTCACTGCATTTGAACCTCCGTGGCCATAAGGAGATTTTTATTTCTCCTTGGATTTGAACTTGAGACTTCTAGGCACTTTGACCTTTGGAGCCCAAGCTCAAATCAATCAGGCACCACCCTTGTAGTTTATAAAACCAGTTTTATTATAATGTCATCAGGTTGTACATAAAATAAAACTTAATTATCTATCTTCTATAATACAAATTCAAACATGTTACGATTTATATATAATTTTGATTTTAATTTAAATATCGACTCTAACGATAAAAATACAACTGATGACGGCAGAATGTTTACTGAAACATGCAAGAGACTAGGAATCAAGAAGAGGTCGGATGCGAACGGAATTGTACCATGCAAATGATCGTGTACCACACACGACGAGTCGAGATTGAGATTAATGAAGTAGTAATTTGCATGGAATTCGTTAAGTTAAATTATTAATCGTGTATTAATTGTTGTGTGTTTGCTTAATTAAAAAAAAGATAAGTAGCATACTTAATTATAATTAATGATGTTAATTTTGTGGTAATAAGTTTGGATATGAGAACAACTTGTATCTGTGATACCCATGAGACCATTTTTTTTACACTTGAAACTTCACAGCAGACGCAGTGAAGGTTCGTTTTTTTTTTACTTTCACTGCATTTTGCTCCGAAATTTCAAGTGTAAAAAAGTGGTTTCACGGGTCTCACAAAAACATGTTGGTTTCACGTAAACTCAATTGTGTATGTGTGTGTGTATATATATATATATATATATAGAGAGAGAGAGAGAGAGAGAGAGAGAGAGATTCATACGAGAACAATACACAAATAAGATAATAAAAAAAGGGTCGAATCACATATGATTTTACACCATAATTACATGTAAAATATCATGCGATTCATTCGACCTTGCCCACAAACTAATGTTGCAAGAGACGTCTGTTGACCGTTAGTGTAAAATCACATGTGATTTATCTATTTTCGTGTTCTTTTATTTGGTTATTGTTCTGTTTGAATATATATATATATATATATATATATATATATCTCATGGAATCATGCAATACAAGACACATTTTGGGTCTCGATTGAGTTGTTTATCTCGTCAAGCCTTTACAGCAAAAAACACCGAACTTCCAAAACAAAATCATGCATATTCATAACACCGAATCCTCAAATGAAAACACGAACATCTACATGCATGAAAAATACAGTGAATATTCGTAAGAAAAACACATCAAACATTCACGATACGCATCTGAACTTTTATAACATGTTTTACGATCTCATAAAAAGCGATCGATCGATCGATCTTACGTAAATATAACTTTATTTAATATATGTGAGAAAGAATAAGATAAGGGAAAATTGGGGATATTCGATAATATGATACAGTGAACAGGAGCTGAATAAAATAGATGAATTGAAGGAACAGGAGCTGAACCTATGGAACTGTGAAAATTCATGTTCTCGTACGTGTGCATGCATGTACATTCAGACATCTTAAAAAAGGGTCAAACACAATTATGATATTTTTTTATTAACTATAAAACAATAACATTGATTTTTTCAAAATAAGATATACTTTTTCTTCTTTATCATTTTATTTTTCAAAATAAAAAATAAAAAATCTAAGCATTTCTTCCGAGACATATGAGTCAGGTTTATTATGAAAACAGTAATAAAATATGATAATATGAAAATGACTGATTCATATGTGATTTTACATTAAAATCGTTTGCAAATCACATGTGATTCACGCATCAGGTCGTAGCCAGATCATCTGCTAACCCATGTGTTGTCCTTGTTCATAATTGCATCTGAATATGGTTTTTTTGTTTTCTTATTTTTACCATAATCTTGTTTGATAGTGGCGCGTTTCATTTGGAAGCTGAAATTGAACAGGATCCCCAGGAACCACCCACAACATGACATATTCTTCATAAATATAGATGTGTTATTCATCATAAATGTTGTATTATATTCATTATGAATGTGTTATTCATTATTACTAACACGTCCATATTTATCATAAATGTATTATTTATGATGAATATTCATGAAAAAAAAGAACATATTGGACATTATCACGATGTGGACGGTTTCCGAATTTCTAAACAATTTTTGGATTACTAACGACACTTCTCTCTATATTATTTGTCTTTAAATGAGTTTTTTTTATTTGACCTTATTTACTTACCTATCGTAACACATACATACATACATACATACATACATACATATATACATACATACATACATACATACATACATACATACATACATACATACATACATACNATACATACATACATACATACATACATACATACATACATACATACATACATACATACATACATACATACATACATACATACATATGTATGTATGTATGTATAATGTATTTGCAAGGTTGGGTTCCGCTGAGAAGAAAATGAAAAGCCTAAGAAGGATCTTAACGCTTGGATGTACATAAGGATGAGATGCACCGGATCAATCCATATATCAAACGCGATTCATAGGTGGGTTTGAGATTAAAGATGATCAAGGGTCCAAATCCGTTATTATACTTCTCACCTTACTTTCACTCTCATACGATATTTCGCTTATATATACATACATAAAAGCATGATTTCTCTATAATTACCGACTTATAATTAGCAGGGACATTCCAATCTTTTTGGAGTCCTTGTTATATCTAAACTTTTGATTAAACTGCCAAATGAGATAACTCAAATACATATATACAAATTACATAGACGATGATGAGGCGTATCACTTTTGTCTTCTGATAAATATTTAAAAGGCCCGAAAGTGTGCTATAGGGGGCCATGTTAAAAAATCACACATTTAGTATGCTAATTGCAAAAAAAAAGGGCCTTGCATATTAGTGACGGGTCTTCTATTCTCAAAATATCTCGCCATTAATTTGAAGTTTAAGACTGTGTTACCAATTTGTCGGAAGACCATAGATAATTGTATCTGTAAGTTCGTCAATAGAAGTGAAATTTTTGTAATTATAAGGATACGATGCATGAAAATTTTATACCGTAAAAAAAACTACTTTTGTGAAAGGTTTATGTGTTGTTTACCAAATGTTTATCCGATAATCGTGTATCAAATGAACATGACAATGACCAAGAATTTACCCTGTAAGAGGGACAGAAAAGACCGAGTCTCACACAGTAAATGAGGGTGACGACTCTTACACAATTAATAATTATCGGATAAATTGTTTTATACGACACCATTTGGATGAACAAAAATCTAACCTGTTATGAGCGATTGCAAGAACTGAGAGTCTTATTGAGTAAGTGAGAGTGTCCACTCTTACCCGCTTAATTAAGTTTTACCAGATATATTGTTGCATACGATGTCATTTGGATGGACAAAAATTTTAGCCAATAAAACAAGTGATGATATTGAATCTTATATGCAAACGTTTACCGGTTAAGTGTTTATTTGAAACGATTTAATTTAAGTGCATGCATTGTTTGGCCAAAACCAGAATAATGTGTTTAAAGAACGTATAAACCACATGCATTATGAATATAAAAACACCATGTGTTATAACTCCACGAATTTGGTCATAACGTGAACATGTAGAAACCCTATGAATCTCTCCGCAAAAAATGAAGGAATTAATCTTCAACGTTTTTGATTCATCGGATTTCAATATTTTGAGTTTTAAACTAAAAGACTATACGTTTTCGATCTGTTTTCTGTATAGAATTAGAATATATGAATATTTTTTTGAATAAAGATTCACATGTGAATATTATAAAATCTTTAAAAGAAATGGAAGACGAATAATTGTTATATTGGTGATGAATAACTCGTGTTTGATAAGATGACATGAATGGTTGCTAGATAACGGTTATTTAAAGGGTAAATTGCATGAAAAATAACGTGATTTAACTTGTTTTTTTTTTGGGTAGCGTACTTTTAAAACTTTCATTTTGCTACCTAAGATGTAAAGTTTTAGATATTTAAGTACTCGGGTAACCGGTTATCATGTTGATGTGGCGAGTGATGTGGTATTCAACTCACTATTATTTGCTAACGTGATTAATGACATGTACTTAAATGTATACAAGTTTACATCTTGAGTACCAAAATGAAAGTTCTTAAAGTACGTTACCCAAAATAGGAATCAAATTAAAGTACGTTACTTTTTTCATGCAATTTGCCCTTATTTAAAAATGTAACAAGAAAATTAGTACTCTCTTCGTCTCTAATTAAATATCCACATTTCTATTTTAATTTGTCACAAAATATATATGTCTACTTTCAAAAGTAAGTTTTTATTTTCTTATTTTTCTATTAATTATAAGCCGAAGAAACCAGTGTTAGAGTGTCATCTTAGTTATTTAAAAAGTGTAATAATTACATATTTCTAAAACCGTGCGGCATTTTAATTATCAAACGTTATTCAGTAAGTGCTTATCAAGTCGTACTATTTTACTGGATAAACATAACAAAGACTAATTATTTTACCTGGTAAGAGCAGTGGTAAGTATTAAGATCTTATCTGATAAGTGAGAGTAACAACTGAGTAAGATTTAGTGTTTATTGGGTAAATTATTGCATACAATATCAATATACCATTCTGATAAACTAAAATCTTATCTAGTAAGGTAAATGATACTGTTGAATTTTACCGGAATGCCTAACTGAACGTTCAAGATTGGATTCAGAAGCTGAGGCGACCGAAAGGGATAAACTTTTATCGGATAAGTGTTTAGTAACGAGACTTTGTTTTGATATGATGAGCCGTAAATTAATTTAAGTAAAGTTGTGAAAGGTAAACCATAAGGTTGGTATCCGATTAATTTGAATTTAAGCTCCAAAGTTTAAAAGTGTCTGGGGTTACCAGGTTCGAATCCAAGAAGGGAAAAAAATCCTTTTGTACCAATGGAGGTTCAGATGTAATGACTCCAGGCTACCTACAAAACGGGTGGTCTTCATGGGGTTAGTTGACTTAGGGGCCGTTTACTAAACACTTACTTGATAAGTACTTATCGGATAAATTTCCTCATCAAATGAACATGAGAATGGTCAAAAATGTTACCGGGTAAGAGCGATGAGAATGATGGAGAGTCTTACCCGGTAAGTGAGGATGACGACTCTTACTCAGGTAAGCGTTTATCCACTAAATTATTGTATTCGATTAATATACTAAAATCTTATGCATTAAAATAAATCATAATATTGACTTCTATCGATAAATACTTACGGGGTAAACAATTAGGTAAATGGTTCTACATAACGAATTGAATATCTAAGTTAATAATAAAAAAATTGTGAAAGGTTAATGATGTAATCTAGAAGACGCACGTGTCGGTTTGAACCGGTCCAATATTCAAAACAAGGCCCCTTTCTTGTATCCGACAAACAAACACACTCACATGCTTGTCTCTGGGTCCCATCCCACCTTACCATAAATACAAATTCTTTGTTGCCAACATATTCTATTTTTATTTCAAATTTCCTTTTTTAGGGTGTTTTGAGTTATTTCTTATAAAGTAATATATGAGTTGAGTTGATCGAGTTGAAGACATTTGAATAAATTAATTCAATTTTTACGGTTTGAAAAAGTATCAACTCAACCCAAACTGTGTGGGTTGGTCGGGTTGAAATTTTGCTATATTATTTTGCAACCTAACTAAATATTTATGTTTAAACGAAGTAAAATCGAAAAATGATAACATACAAAAAAGACTAACAAATACAAAAAAGAAAAGTTGAAGGTTCATGCAAATAAAAAAGTAAAATTACGGTTGATATTGTAACATAATTTTGAATCTAGCTAGTCATGGATTGGTCTAATATCTAATGTATATATGTTAACCAATGACTTAAAAATCGTATTAAATTTATAATATAGAAGTGCATCAGATTCATCTAGTTGGGTTGGATTCAAATAATCCTAACCCAATTCCAACCTAATAGATATGGGTTGGTTTAATTTTGTATCAACTATGTGTTGGGTTACCTTGGGGTGGATTTTTTTTGGGTTATTTCGGGTTGGGTTGGTCAGTATTTTGAGCACCCCTAATGTCTGGACTAATCCTGACAAATTATAATTACAAGAAACCAATCTAATAAACTCACTAGCCACAATTGTTGTGTACGTCTGAAATCAAACACTGGAGAGATGTAATATTCCACCACATCCTCCAGGATCTCAATCACTATATCACAACTCTTTTTATTTCAAATTCTTAGTAGTAACATATTTTAATTTTAGTAACCTCAAATGGGTGTTGTCGAGTTGGTAGTTATATGAACCCGGTTTTGAACTAATCTCAGAGTTCTAGAAATATAAAACTTCTCCAACAGTTATGTTAAAATACAGATTTTGAAAATTTATAGTATTTCTTTTTTCAACAGTTATAGTATATCGTGTGCTAAAATAAGAAAAATAGTGATCACTCTTATGTTATTTCTGATCCAATCTAATAATCACACCTTAAGAGATGAATGTGGTGGTGGCAATGGACCGCCGAGATGCACCCCAAGGGCCAGGGAAGCACATACGTTATCATGGACTCGCAGTCCTCAAAATAACACGTGTCTATATATCAGTGGTCCGATGAATTGTTGCCTCTCCCTATATAACTATACAACAGCCCACAATGCGTTAATCAGAGATTTCCGATTCCTTCCCTCTCAAACTACCAACTTTTTTCCAAACAGTCATATCATCACAAGATCAGATTCCACCAAACACCATGTCATCGGAAACATCCAACATCACGTCGGAGATACCTACTACCGCCACCGTCGACGGTAGCCCTAATTTCGATGATACAGAGCTGACCTTAGGATTACCAGGTGAATCTCGCGGAAGAAGTTTAGGAACCAAGCGAAGGTTTTCCGATATGATTGATCTGAAATTGGGGGCCAATGATCAATCCGACACCACATCCTCCGTCGTCATGAAATCTCCTCCGTCTATGTAAGTTATAGTATATTTTATTTCACGCGCTTTATAATCAACCGAGATTAGCTGAAATTGATCACTTGAATTGATTGATACGAGAAGGAATATACGGATTTTACAGGGAACAAGTGGTAGGATGGCCGCCGGTTAGATCTTACCGAAAGAACATGACAAAGAGTGATTGCAAATATGTAAAGGTGGCGGTTGACGGAGCACCGTATTTGAGAAAGGTAGATCTGGAATTGTTCACAGGCTATCAGCAGCTTCTGTGCGCTTTTGAAAACCTGTTCTCCTGCTTCACCGTTCGTAAGTAGATCAACTATGGATCTCAGACTTGATTGTTGATTAATCATGTTATATCTTAATTTCAATTCATAATCAATTGAGTACAATTAGTTAATGTATTGAGTAATTGTTACAGGAAATGTATTGAACGAGAGGAAGCTGATGGATCCTGTGAACGGTCTGGAATACGTTCCAACATATGAAGATAAAGAAGGAGATTGGATGTTAGTTGGTGATGTTCCATGGAAGTAAGTCTGCAAGCATGTTCATAAACGATCACTAACATTAATTTCTAATAAATTCATCTCACACTTCCATTTTCATGAAGAAATTAACCAACAATTTTCTGTATCTGATCAATTTTGCAGGATGTTTGTTGAATCCTGCAAGCGAATAAGATTAATGAAAAGTTCAGAAGCCATGAATTAATTAACAGATCAGGTATACATGATCACAAACAACTTCCATTTTCCTGATTTCAATTTACTCACACAACAACTTTCAACAATTAACCGTGTTTCAATCACTATTCAGAAACTTGAATTATGTCCAATTCATGTAGGTCGTGAATGATTTACAATCTAATTAAGTTCTTCTCGTTTAATTAGACTACAACATCAAGAACAACTTCGAAGCAGTGGTTGACTATTGTTGGATTAGAGGCATGATCAGTATGGGGATTAAGACATGTGTTGGGGTTTCACAGAAACAACCGTTCTATAATTTGGGGGTAAATGATATATCCGTGTACATCCCAATCTCTAATTAAGCCCGTGCAGAGTGAGATATACAGGGCTGGTAGTTTGGTTTGATTTGGTTTGGTTCGGTTTCGTTCGGTTCGGTTCGGTTCGGTTAAGCATGGGATATCGAGTAAGGAATTGGTGAAAAGAGGACGACAAGTAATTTGGCGAGTAGGAAAATGGTTGAAGGATTAGGAATATTTTACAAGTACATAAAATCCACATGCATGAGGTAAGTACAAAAAATGCTTGTTGAGGATTTGGGTGAACACAAACCGCCAAATTGAAAAAGCGTGCTTTTTTAGGGTTTTGTAAATTGGAAAAAGCTTTGTTATGTACTAGCAAATAGCAATAGCAATAGCAAATGGTACAGTAGAATTATCTTTTCTTTTTTCTAATATTTATTTGAATTTTCTTTTTAATTTCTTGCCAATTTTATTTTTCTATCAATATATTGTAAACATGGATATTAAATATTAATAAACAAATTTATTTCATAATTTCTAAAATATTAAAAGAATATATTTTGTAACATAAAATAGATACAAACATGGTTAAAGTTTTTAATATTTTGTATTAAATTAATTATGTTATTTATAACACCCAAAATAAATTGATTGAATTAGATGTCGATTTGTGTACATTAACTTTATAATTGATCGACACATGGGAGTTTTTCCAAGTTAAAACGAGTTAGGTATGTTTGTCTTATGTCGAGAAAAAAAAAATGACAGGGAATGGATTTTTATTCCTTCTATTTTAATTGTGAATGAAATTTTGGGCTTCTAAAGGAATGAGTTTATTATATTATAGAAAACTAAACAGTTTCTTTTATTTTGTTTCTCATTGATTATTGCTTAATACCTCTAACCAAACGTTATTTTAGTTTCATCACAACGAAAGGGTGTTTTTAGGATAATCAATCGTCCTTGTGTGTCTTAATATATAAAGAGAGGGGATCGTGTAAGAAACAAGTTAATTTGTAAAAAGGTGAGAAAGAATATGGGTCAAATAAGAAAAATTACCCAAAATGACCATTTTATACATTGTACACTACTAAAATGACCATTAAAATTGCCCATGGAGGGAGATTTTGACTATTTTGGGGCCATTTTGACTATAAGATACGGATGGTTCTCACATGTATACCATTTGGGAAACAAAAATTAGATATTATATATGATATATATGAAATCGCCCTCATTTTGTCCAATATTAACATCTATTATGTCTTCTAGTGAAGACAACTTATGACGTAACGATTTGACACATCAATGACGATTTGACAAGACATGCAAGACGATTTTCATTGATATTTTATTTTTTTTAGGACCAAATGTAGTATATATATATATATGAATTTTGTAGTATTCTCTATAAAATTGTAGTGATCCAAACACTTCTACTCTCACAACCATTAACCTTAACACAAATATGAAATCACGTCAAAGTGATAATAATTATTTTGGAAATTACCCAGAATAACCATTTTATAATGCTTCATCCATTAATTAAAAAAACATTATAAAAATAAGAGGTTTTGATGAAGCATTATAGGAGAGAGCTCCAACAACATAGAAGTGTCAGCCACTTCTTTTTACATTTTATAGTTATTGTTGTAATTTTAAACTGAAGTTTCCGTTAATTCTGTTTAAACTGTCTGGTGAAATGGGCATTAATTATTCAACAAATCTTGTAATATCTCACAAATCTTGTGATATCTTGAGAAATCATCATATTACTATTCATCTTCTGAACCACCCTTCAAGTGATCTTTTCCAAATCTTCAAAAAAATCTTTTCATATCTTCGTTCCTTACCCATATTTTATCTTCATCTTTCTTTGCATCAAGAGTTTGTTCTTCAATATTGCTCTAATGTAACCGAAGTAAGCATAAGATTACATGAAAACAATGATATTTTCAGCTTTGTCCTCAAATTAACGTTACTCCCCACATTGGCCATATTTCACCATCCAACATTTAACCCAAAAATGATGTATATAACCATAAAACATCATCAACAGCTCCAAATGAAAATAAATAATATAAAGAAAAAAACACAAATATAAAAAGAGAAAAAAATGACACACAAATGATGTGTAAATAACATTCAAAATGAGAGTTATCAATCCAAAAAATAGAGAAAAATCAGTGAAAAATATAATGAATTGTAATTTTTTTTCCTAATCGAAAGTGTATTTAGAAAAAAATTATAATGATATTTTAAAGGATTTATCCAATTCAAACAGGTAATTATCCTAATTTTTAAAATTATTTTACATTTCTTATTTGTGGTATTTTTTAATTAATTATTGGATTATGTGTCATATATTTCTTCTTGACTTCCTACAAATTGATTTCTTCTCGTTTAAAGGTGCTCATAAATATGGGATCTTCTTTTGAGAACCCGTGAAATTGTGATAACCTTAAGTTTACATGCATCATATGCTATTTCATATGATTTATTTTCATCGAAGACTAGGATTTAGAATATCGATTATCATACATTTGTTTCACAATGTATTCTTTAACATGTACTTGTTTCACAATGTGAATTTTTTAGCTTGTTTGTGAAACAAAAGTTGCACATAAAAAAAGTTTCACATTTTGAACCGCTTACATACGAAGCAAACATATTGTGAAACAAATATATGTTCATCAATACATAAATGTTAGCCTTAGATAGGAAAAAAATCATGTGAAACAATACGTGAAGATAAAAGTTATGACTGTTATCATAATGTATGAGGTTCAAAAATGATTAAGCCCCTATAGAGAAAGAGAGAGAGAGAGCTAGGTTATTTTGTTAACCAATTTGTTACTGTTAACTATATTAACCTAATTGACCAATAGGGAACATCCAAGGTCTTGCAGTCCAGTCAGGATCATTATGAGTCACGTGTGACGGTATTTATACTTTTGAAAGGTGTTCTATTTGCTCGTAGCTCTCTACATATCTGATAATATAATATCTAAACTTACACTATTTAATTACCTCATATGTCTTTGATTTATGGTTTTCCATGTTCTATTAGAGCTTCAACTATCTATATTATATTATAAAGCATTTGACAAAAACTCTTAAAAACCATTTTTTATGCATAAAGTACTGTTTATTGATGCATATTACTTAAAATTCAAGATTACAAGTAAATAATGCATAAGTACAACTTATTAAAGCTCCATACTTGAATTCGTGTGACTAACTGCAGATAAACATGATCAAATATTGGATAAACATTTCATTTTAAAAATAAAAAAATCTAAAATATAATTAAAATAATCAATGTGTTCTAACAGAATATTTAATTATAAAAAAATATTATTAAATCAAAAATAAATTACTTCATTATTAAACTTAAATTAAAATATAATAATAAAGAAATTGAATTAAAGAAATTACACAACAAAACAAGCACTTTTAAATAGTTAATTTGATACTAACATCGATATATTCTTTTAAAAAATTTAAGATATATCTTCATATTTATATTTTATTAAAAAATAAAAACATTATTGTTTTTCTCAGAATCATATAAAAAACCGTATTATAACATCAACAGGGAACAGAATAAAATGAAATATTAAAATCGAAATATATCTCGCTGCATTACAAGAGACTTAAAAACCCCAAAATTTATTATGGTTTGTATCAAGTTAGTTTCATCCAAATGGCACAAGGTACATGGGCTTTGTGAGTTATGGTTATGGGAATTGGGAGTGGTGAGTGAGAACTATTTGGAATAAATTTCTTTGGGCCTAAAAGTAGCCCAATAAATAAATTGGGTTCATTTGTATAATGTCAAAGGCCCAAAGCTTCTTTTTGGTTTTCTCTTTCGATATTCTTGTGTCGTCGCACACGGTATCAAAAATGAAGGAGGGGGTAGATCGGTCATTCGGTTACTACGTCAACATTGTTCATTAACATGTCTTGAGGTGTGTTAAGATATGTTAAGATTTTCATGGTTACTGTGTGTTACCATGAGTTAAGATATCTGAAGATTACATCATACATGTTAAGATGTGTCAAGATTTTCATATAAGATTTCAAGTTATGGCAACTTAGGGGCTGTTTACCAAACGCTTACTCAGGTAAGTGATCACCAAGTCTCATTACCTTACCGGATGAATATGGTAAGGACCAAAAATCTTATCCGGTAAGAGCGAGACAAAACCAAGAGTCTTACCCAATAAGTGAGGGCGACGACTCTTACCACGGTAAGCGTTTACCGGGTAAATTGTTGCGTACCATATCGTTTTAATGGATTAAAATATTACCCGGTAAGTAAATGATAGTCTTAAATTTACCGATAAGCATTTACCATGATTATAAAGATTTCTATGGGCCAACTTTGTTCTCGAAACGAATGCCTAAATAGCACCAGTGATTCTCTGAGCCGGTCTGGATTTCCATGAGCATCACGGCATAGGTAAAAGGGAATAATCAGCTCTGGGGGAGAATGATGATGGAGATGTATTGCGCTAAACGATCGGACCAGATAGACGCAGGTAGCTTGACCGCTAATGAGACCTCGATCCCGAAGCCTTCGGAGTATCGTTTGAGAGTTTTTAGTACAACAATGAACTGTTTTCGACTTCTGTTCTACTTTTTATAAATCTCAGTTCTAGTAATTCTGACTGGGCAAATTTCATGAAAAAAATAACATACTTTAACTTGATTTTCATTTTATGTAACATATTTTCAAAACTTACATTTTGATATCTAAGATGTAAAGTTTTAACCATTTAAGTACCCGAATAATCGGTTGAAGACTAATTTTAGATTAAAAAAAAATCAATTTCACTAACCACGTCAGCAAATAATATTTAGTTGGATACCACATCACTCGTCACATCAGCATTATAACCACTTAATGCTTCAACCAGGTACTCACATGTTTAAAACTTTACATCTTCGGTACCAAAATGAAAGTTTTGAAAGTACGTTACCCAAAATATGAATCAAGTTAAAGTATATTATTTTTTCATGTAATTTACTCTCCAAAATTTAAGATTTAAAGTTTCTAAAAATAATTCAGAAATAAAAAATAAACCATGGGCAGGATTAAAACAAATGTATTGGGCGTCTATGTGCCACTTCATATAATACAGCAGGAGAATGGACGTGGTTTTATTACTAATATTTTTCTTCTTAAATTTAATAAATAAATACAAGTAATTTTGCAAATTATAAAAATTAAATTTATTCTATACTATATTATAAAACATTTGACAAAAACTCTTAAAAACTATTTTTTATGCATGAAGTATTGTTTATTGATACATATTACTTAAGATTCAGTATTACAAGTAATTTTGCGTAAGTATAACTTATTAAAGTTAAAATTTTAAATTCGTGTAATTTTGTGTAAGCATAACTTATAATCAAATATAGGATAAACCAACTTTAAATATATAAAATCTAAAATATAATTAAGATAATGGTAAGTTATAACAGAATATTTAATTATAATCTTTATAAAAAATTATATTATTAAACCAAAAAAGTCATTTTGTTATTAAATCTAAATTAAATTGTAACAAAAAAAAAATTAAATTAAAGAACTTACAACAAAAAAATAGTTAACTTAATAATAATATCGATTTTTTTTTTTCAAATTTTTATGTTAGATAAAAACATTATCATTTTTTCTCAAAACCAAATAAAATCGTATTATATCGATAGAGACAAAATAAAAATTAAACATTAAAAATCAAGATTTATCTTGCTACATTGTATGAGTACTCTTCTAATGTAATTTTAATTAATAATATCTAATATTTTAAAAACAATTAAGTCGTGGACTACAAGTGTTCACCGACAAATAAAGAATGCAAGTTGTTCACTATTTAATAATTAAGAAAAGGTCATTTTCAATCTTCACATGCAAAAACCATTTGTTTAATTTTGTGGGTATAATTAAATTTATGATTATTTTAATTTTAAGCTATTTTTATTTTCAAATTTGACTGAAATAGCCAAGATTTTATAAGCAATTAAATGTGCGTTTTCTGATTTATATATGATTCTGATTGGATTGGCTTACGAAATTGGTAACAAAAAAGGAACGCTGACTTACGAATTGACTTGCTAGAATCATATTTTATTTAAAAAAAATACATCTCACAAGTTGCAAAAGAATGACTTGCAGAATCTCAGCTGTCATAATTCAAATATAAAGAAACCGACTAAAAAGCAAAGATGTTCGTCTAAAATAGTTAGGTGGGGTTTGTTTTTTTAAAAGGTGTTGAAGTCTGATTTCACTTCTGATTTGTAAGAGGTGGTCATGAAGTTTGAAATCTTATTCCAAGAATGTTTGTTTTTACATCTGAAGTTTGAAATCTGAAAATATCAAATTAGTGCAAAAATATAAAAGATAATTAGTTTTTTTTTACAAAGTATAAAAGATGAATAGTTTTTTATAACAAATCTCTTTCAGCCCCAAAAATATGAACCATGTAATAGAGCACAGATTAGGATTAAAATGTATCAAGGGATATGTTTACTACTTAAAATTTCATAGAACTATGAAGGGTCTAAATGTAATAAGACCATAGTTGAAGGTCTATCTGGTACTTATAACCAAAATGAAAATCAATATATACGCCTGTATCTTGACGCATTTCTTGATCCTTCAACTCGCTTCCGTCAATCTAGATCTACAATCTTTGTTTTCTTCCTCAGGTAATCCACTGTCAAAATCCTACTTTCCCTCAAAAAAAAAATCAAATTTCGTGTTGATTTGATGTTGATTCAGTTTGCTTCCATGTTTACAGGACTGATCTCTTGCTCGCAATGTCGGTGGAATCTCTGAAAACCAGCAATATCGTTAATGGCGATTCTAATTTCAGCAATGGTCACACTAAGAAACCGTGCAGGATCTACGTAGGTTACGATCCAAGAGAGGATGTGGCGTACGAAGTTTGTCGGTACTCTATCATGAAACGATCTTCGATCCCTGTGGAGATCATCCCAATCAAGCAATCTGAATTGCGAGAGAAGAATTACTTTTGGCGTGAGCGTGGGAAGCTCGAAAGTACCGAGTTCTCGTTCACTCGATTCTTAACCCCATTTTTGGCTGGATACGAAGGTTGGGCGATGTTCGTCGATTGCGATTTCCTTTATCTCGGTGACATCAAGGAATTGTTCGATCTGATCGATGATAAGTACGCTGTGATGTGCGTTCAACATGATTATACCCCAAAAGAGACCACGAAAATGGACGGTGCTGTTCAGACTGTTTATCCACGAAAGAATTGGTCCTCAATGGTGCTTTATAATTGTGGGCATCCGAAGAACAAGGTTCTGACCCCGGAGGTTGTCAACAAGGAATCAGGTGCGTTTTTACATAGGTTTCAGTGGCTGGAGGATCACGAAATCGGGTCTGTGCCATTTGTTTGGAATTTTCTTGTGGGTCATAACCGTGTTGAGAAGGGTGACCCGAATTCATACCCTAAAGCTATACATTATACGCTGGGTGGGCCATGGTTTGAGGCTTGGAAAGATTGTGAATTTGGGGATTTGTGGTTGAATGAATTGGAGGAGTGTGAGATTGCCAAAAAAGTTGAGAAATTGGAGTAAGATTTGAGGGTTATTGTTTTAGCCTCTTGTATATCTTGATGTTGCTCTTCAAGTGTTCGATGAAATGCCTTTTAAGGTCTCCTAACATATGTAGTTTTTATTATTCTCTTATTCATTATGAATATTTATGATTAATTATGTTGTAATAGCACAAGTTCTTTGATTACTTCATTCAATAAATACCAGCTTTGTTTCTCTTTATACCCTTTTCAGTTCATTTCTGGCCATAAAAAATACAGAGTTTTGTTCCCATTTTTTACCTCAACAAGCAAGAAATTTGCAGTCTTGAATCACTTGTGAATACAAGTAAATTGGCATTCAAATGTTTCTTCCTCAAATGGGTTTGATTTCGATTCTGTATTGAAATGATTGATTTCGACCAAGATTTCTTGAAAATCAAATCAAAAGGAAAGAGGGTTTTCCATTTGTTTCGTCGGACAAAAATGCAATGGAGCCTTAAAGAGCCTCCTTGAGTTCAATTTACATCATCTTTTTACAAACAGCCTCACATCCCACATCTATAAACCATTATAGAAAAAGGTTTTCAAGAACCAAAACCCCATTTCCCACTTCTAACTTCAAGATTTTATTGACTGTTCTCAAACAACAAAAACAGAGACCGGTACAAATATGGTAAATAGACGATTAGATAAAATCGCCTTTAAGGTAGCAAAAAAAATACCTTCTGGTCTGTTACGGCCTAGAATAGTAGAATAGTGTTTCGGGTACTTCTGGAGAAGGCAAACTTGCAACCCCTTTGAACTGTAAACACAAAAAACCATATAAAGTTTGCAACTTTTGAGATCAAAGGTTAAATGTAAGGTTGAAAAGTTAATCAGTCTCTTGTCAGCTACCTTATCTTGCTTGTATTTTGATCGTATAGCATTTAGAGGGGAACGACTGTCACTTGATTTTAAACTATATAGTGCAAAGACTGTGTTCTTTAGATCCAGTGGCTTGTACCATGTGTAGTACTCTAAAGTATCATTCTGCCAATTCAAGAAAAAGATATTGTTAAACTTCAATTGGAGACCTTAAGAAACTTAAAGAAAACGACACTAACCCAAGGGTGGCACGACTGATTTAGCATCCATCGGGCAAGAAATACAGCCGAGGCAGCAACAGTTGAAGGAACAAATACCAAGAAGTTATAGTCTATCAATGTCAACTCCACCAGATAATTTGTCAAAAACTCCAATTCAAGATTCGGGATCTACCAAATTGTAGAGAACAATTAAGACACGAAGGTTAAAGGGATTTGCCTAAATTACAAGCAAAGAACGGGCAGTCCGGCACCATCAAGCTTACCTGGTGAGAAGCTTGTGCCGCTCTTAAAAATCTCCTGTAAACAATAGAGATTCGTATAAAATATGATCATCTTAATCGGATCTATAAAAAATGTATGCAAAATAAAAAATGATGCATATACCTGAGAAAAGTTTTTGCTGTAGGTGCTGAAAGTTGAAAATTCAAATAGTTCAGAACAAGACTCTCCATTTTCAGAACCTGCACAACTTATTTGGCTGAATACTTTGATGATCTAAATAGGATCCATAAAGAATGTATGAGTTTGTATGATATCTATCATATTGCATTACAACCATCTTGCGGTTGATATTTTAGCAAGATTTTAGACAAATTGTATCGTGTAATATAATAGGAGCGGTAAGATGTCATATTTGTTTTAAGCATTGATGTCACAGAAAAATCAAACCTCTGATTTCGTATAAGTGCTGTCAGTGATGAAACAGAATTCTTCCACACTTGGTGAGCAGATTTCTTCATATTTCCTTCAAACAAAAAAGAATGCAACTGTATCAATGTAATAAGAAGTGTGGATAGATGACGCAATTGGTTAATGTTAATCTAGTCGAAACGAGTGAGACTTGCTGTGATGTACTAAGAAAGGATATGTTATGTAGTATGGCTTGTCCAACTTACTTCTAGGGGCCACCAACAATAACAAAATCCTTATGACTGTAGCCCACAAATGAGGTATTTGTCAATCATAGATTGGAAATAGCCCATAAATGCAACCAAAGTTGCTAAGAGTGCGTTTGGTATGCAGATTACATGGGACGGGACGGGACAAAAAAAATAGTCTCATGTTTGGCATGCCATGGACAAAAAATACATAAGACAAGATGGGACTATTTTTAAATTTCATGGGACAAAACTTGATAATTGTTGTTCCACCAAAAAAGGTGGAACAACATGGGACTAAATATAAAATGACTATGTTACCCTTAGACCAATTTGAGATTCAAAAACCAATTAGTCCCGTCCCGTCCTGTCCTATCCAGTCTGCGCACCAAACGCTACCTAAAGGCTCAAGGCGCAAAGGGGTCCCAGGGCCTAGGTGCAGGTGCAGGTGCAGGTGCGGGCCTCAAGAATGTGAGGTGCATCTTATAAATAAAGTATTTATATAAACACACACAGTTATACACAACTCAAATATGTAGCAAGTACTCTATTGCAACAACCAACAGTACTTCGATGGCAGAAGGGAGAAGGGTTTAAAGCGTGGGCCATGATGGAGAAGTTTTAAGGTTTGGGTATTTATAGAGAAAGAGGCTTGAAGTTATAAGAACTGGATATTTAATATCCGGGTTTGACTTGTCATCTATTAAATAACTTTTTTTAAGGAAGTCTAGGAGATAAGAAGAGTAAACTTATTTAACATTGGGGTTTGACTTGGTATTTAATAACTTCTTATAAGGCGTGCTTAGGCCCACAAGGCGCCTCAGCCAAGGTGCAGGGCCTCAGTGAGCCTCGTGAATACGCCTAGCCTCAACTTTAAAAGAGCCTCAGAGCCTAGGCATGCCTCTTCTAACAACTATGAGTGCAACAAGAAAGGATAAAACTACCCTAAAAATCCCATTTTGAAGTTCGATATAACTGTCTTGCAGCCGGATATTAGTAAAAGCAAACATACGATCTTGAATAATACTATTTATCATGAATAAAGTACGAATAGTTGGTTCCCAAGTTCTTGATATTTACAGTTCATCGTGAATAAAGCATGAATAGTTAGTTCCTATCATCCCATGTGCTCAACATATTTATAGTTCTCATTTGAACCTGCCCCTACAACATAACCTTCCAAATACCAAACCTCGGGCAATTTCGCCTTGAACAAATGACGTAAAGAATCCTTCTGAAGGTAACATGCTACCCAAGGGTTTCTTTGAAGTATAGGGAACATATTTTAGGGGAAAAGGTGCGAGAGCTTACGAAGCAATTAGCATACAAGTGATGCCTAGCAGTTGAAGTTTTTGTTGTTCAATGTAGTGTTGAGAAAGAAACAAGTCAATGAGATAAACCGTAAGATATAGTGTGTCTGGCACCATCTTATATTCCTCGCATACCTTCAAGGGAAAAAATCACAAGAAAACGGACTCTTAATATGAAACAAAACAATGTGGATTCACATAGGTTTTAAAGGAATCAATCAATGAAACTAACCTCTACAAGCCAATCAACCAAGACTCCCCTCATACTCTGAGTTACATCTCGCTGTACCGTCTCCATGAAATCAGAACGTGGTCTACGCATAAGCTGAATGGTAAAACAGACAACTAATCAGTATTAAGTTTTGGGTCAGGAGCAAGAAAGGTGTTCGGCCATAGGACAAACCTCTGCTGCACGTAAATTGTTGTATATCTCACTTGCATAGAGGCTGCACATTTGAGGATCTTTCTGATCTGAATCTATATCGGTTATCATCAACTTCTCATGAATGTTACTACTCCCTGCATCATAGATGTCAAAAGGTTAAAAACTTTGGTTTCACATAAAGACTCTGGAATGCGTCGTGCATAACATGAGATATTGTTTACTAAGGTCTTGTTTGTTAGCAGTTTAATAGGATTTACAGCTTATTCGGTCAGCTACAGTCTGCACATGACTGTTTGGTAGTGGCTTAATAATATAGAAAGTGGCTTATTCAGTAATCTTCTAGGGGAGCTATGTGCAGAAAGCCAAGTTTTTTTCAAACTTGTCTCTCCCAATTAAAAAACATGCTCATTCCACATATGGAAAAACCCTGCCAAACAAAAAAATTCTCAATATATAGAGACAGATTAATCCGTACAAAACTTCGGGGCTGTTTGGTTGGTTTTCCATTAAAGATGTCTGTGTGGATTAATCTCTCTATATAGATTGGAAGATTTTTGTTTGGGATGATTTTTTTCTTAGATGGAAGGAGTGTATTTTTTAATTGGGAGGGGATTATTCGGAAAAAACTTGTTTTTATGGCATAAAGCTCCCCCTAGAAGCTTCTTGAATAAGCCACTTTCTATGTCATTAAGCCACTACCAAACAGTCATGTATGGCTGACCGAATAAGTTGTGAGTCTCATTAAGCTACTAACAAACAGGTTAATGGAAAACCAATCAAACAATCCCCAAATGGTTTTGAGTTCTTGACGGAATCTTGAGAATGTGGTAAAGCTTAATTACATGAACACTTTCTAATAACAACAAACCTTTCTTTGAAAAGCTTTGCAACTGTGAAGATGCTCTTTTCTCAATTGGACTGGAGTTTACATGTCTTTCCCTTTCAGCAAAATCTGGAGCTTTCTGAATAGCAGAAGGTCGAGTTTGAGTTCCCTCGGTTTCATCAGATTTCTTTGTTTGGGAATGTGCAGAAACTTTTTGCCTTTTAACTGTCACAGAGGCAGCTACTTTCGACATATTGACTGAATTCTTTTTACCCATCTTGCTATTCTTTTTCTGATCAAAATTCGCAAAATGTAGAAACGAAAAAGGCTCAAGTTACAGTGGTATAAAGTAGTCCATTCAGACATGAGTTCGAGACATATTAACGCAATATAAAACATAACTGTTTACAAACCGGAATCTTAGCTGCAGTTATGCAATTCTTATAAGAATTATCACAACAAATGTTTGTGACATCTTTAAGCACTGCTCTCCTCTTATTTTGACCACCGGCTTTTGTCGTGTTAGCATTGTTCTTCTTCTCATCTTGCACCCCTCGTTTAGGATTTTTACGCAAAACTCCACCCTGTCCCTGCTCCTTTTGGACTTCTGAACCCACTAATGACTGGTAAACAGCAGCTCGAGCTCGTGTTACTCGAAAACTGGACTCTCCAACTGTAGTCCCTCTCGTCATTATATGAACCTCAAAGAGATGTAAAACAAGGTTTCAATTCGCAATAGTTTTCCCCTATCTGCAACAATATAGAAAACCATCAAACAAGAAAAATGCAGGCATTATGAGATGTTAATTTATATTCGATACAGGCATATATGGGACATCATTATATTCAATCTCTAGAGGGAATTTTCGTGGCTGAAAACCCAAAAGAAAACCTTTTCGAAATCCAGACGACAAATTGAAAAACACTAATTGGTCATATGAACAAGAAGAAAGGATGAAAAAAAACCAAGATAAAATCATGCTTACAGTAATACAAATCTCAAAACTAACATTCAATTCAGGTCTATCATGTTTTCGAAATCTTGAACCAAGATTTCCTCTAAACTTTCTTCTATTTCCATCAATTTCCCTTTCATCAATCGCTAAATCTATGAAGCTTGAACGTAAAATGAGAAAATCAACAATTTCTTCTTCTTTTATTGCAATAAACACACAAGATTTCACAATGTACATACGTAATATGATCTCCACAACAAAATCGAGGAAATGGGGGTGAAAATTATCGTATTATAATCAAACCCACATTCCAAAAATCAAAGTATTTCAAAAGTAAAGCAAACGTATAAACCCTAACTGATCTGAAATCAAAGAACCATAGAAACTGTAGGATGTAAAGAAAGAGGATGACTAACACAGGGATGATCAAATCGTCTTAATGGAATCAGCTCAAAGGATTGATAGCTGAAACATGAAGGATTTTAGAAAGAGAGACAGCTGGAGATTGAATGAATAAAAAGGGAAATGGGATCGAGAGCGGGACGAACGTAGAGTTCAAACTCGAACATTTTGAGAGACAGAATATTAAAAAAGTGATGGATTTTTTTAAATGCAATTTAATGATAAAATAATATATTGGTACAGGAATTAAATATAATTGATATTCCAATTTACGAAAATGCCCTTTGACTGATTTGACTAACCTTTTCATTAAATACCCTTTTCTTACCTGCTTTAAAATATCTTCCACAAATTCTTTATAATTTTTCTTTTATTAACTTAAATATCTAACCCGTTATACGAGTCGACTAATCTCAAGGTGACCACCTGTTTTGCAGATAGTCTGGAGTCACCGCATTTGAACTTCCGTGGCCACAAAAGGATTTTTATTCCTCCTTGGATTTGAACCTGAGATCTCCTGATACTTTTAATCTTTGAAGTCAAGTTCAAACCAATTAGGCACCACCCTTGTGGTTAAAATAATAAAACAATTAGAATTTTTTAAAATAATAAACTAAAAAAGTTAGAATTTCTAAAAGAATCAGATTTAATTTTAACAGATTCTTTATTTTGGAGTTTCTAATATTTATTACCTCAATACACTCTTTTTTAATTATATGAAAATAATAATAATTTAATCTTACTGATGAAATGAATAAAAAATTAACTTTTCTTTCCTTACAAGTTTTAGAGAATTCTTTAAACTTGAAGTTTTTTTCTATTTTAGAGAACAGTATAAAGAATCTGTTAGGTCGAATTACAAAATAAAAACCTCTTTTTCTGTATTTTAGAGAATTTGTTGGAGATGCTCTAACAAGATAATTATCGATTTAACTAAAATTATATTTTGCTTCAACTATTTATTAAGTATCATACCTGATTATAAGATTAATTATTGTATCAGTTTGTATGCACCTCGATTAATTACATATATTTTTAAGATAATAGTTATGAAAATCCCAGTTTCTTTTATAAACTCAAACTGAGCTATCTGAAAAAGATCCCCAAAGCATAAACTTTATTTTCCCGGTTCAACTAACCTCCATGGTTAACTATTAAAGCAATAAGAGTTATTTGGCAGTTGTTTAATGGTTTGGTACATAATGAATAAAATACTCTTATGGTATAGTGCAAAATGAAATATAATTGTTTGGTAATTGTTCATAATAAAATTAGGGCACTAAATGGTTAAGAGAAACCCAAAATACAAAGTCATTCAGATGGTCTTAAAACCATTAAGAGATAGACTTTTTTTTGTCAAACAAAATTCACCTTTTAAATAATTCAAACTTGCTTTTAGTGGAATTATTAAAACATAAACATATAACCCCTGAGTTTTATTTATTTATAAGATTAATTACATATAAAATTTGATGTTATGACCTACTAAACAAGGTTTTTGATAAGGTAAAATAATAAACTAACTTATAGTTGTCAATATGGGTGGATCCAGCCTTTAAGAACCGGGGGAAAGGCCCCCAGTCAAAAACCAAAAACGTTTGTTGACTAGCTTAAATTTTTTATTTTCATCCTCGTCTTACATGGTTTCCCTCCAGTCTCATATGGCCATATGCTTCCCTCCCACAAAGTCCCATCCAACGTGTCCCCACCCCATTAATTTTCTGGATCCGTCACTGATTGTTAAACATGACCTAATAATAGTGAACCACGATTGAAGTATCCTATGCGCTCTCTCTACATCTTTCCTTCCAGCCATTTATTTCTTAACACAGATATTTGTTGTCCTGGTACCTGATGTAATATAATTGACTTGGACGGTTTTGCATGAAGAAGAAATGTTGGGGGATTCGGGTTTCATGTGAAACAATGTATGTTACTGGATAAGAATACGAGTGCTTTCCGACTTGCCGTAAGTAGTATTTCGTTCTTATCTATCTGGGTATTACAAAACTTAATCGAGGAATAATCTCAATCCACAAAAACAATTAAGCATAAACTGTAACCTATAAATTTAGAAAGATCGTAACAGCTCGAACAATAAAAGCGAAAATGAAAGAAATGATTAGTGGAAATCGTAGACAATTATTGGGCGGTTACGTCATTAAATAGAACATTTACAAAATGGTGGAAACTCCTACAAATCAACATCAACACAAAAGAAATATCACTACTGAACGACTACCATTGCGACCAATGCAGTAATAGCAGTTCATTCATTAGCACTGATGATGTGACTGCTCATGGTCATAATAGATCCACTGTCACTGAAAACATAAACTTAAGCATGTCGTTTCAGGGCAAGGGTCCTCGACCAATTGGTTTCCCCTTTGGAACCCCGCTAGGGGACACAATCCTTTTGGCAGCCGCCATATAGCGATCCCGAGTTCTAGGCAGCTTATACAAATCTCATACGTTCTAAACCATATTTAGCTTGACCATCAACACTTAATCTTTTTTGAATCCAATCCCCTGAAACATGATCTGATGATTTAACGAAAATCATTAATATTCCTCCCCCGTTTTGGCTTAACCGTCACAATCCATACAACATTGCCACATTAATCCACACTACAATGTAGACATATCAAACATATACATATAGCATCACAAAACCAAAATAAAGATCCGAGGATCCAACCTCAACCACATGTAAGTTTTATCATCATAACATGACTGCTATCATATAATAAACACAAAGGTCGAACACGATGATAAAATAAACGTTCATGAAATAACAGAAATGAAGCACACTACTCATTCAAGAAATACTGGTTTAGTCCTCGAAGACTAAAGACCCGGATACCCCTAAAACAGAGTATAAAGACCTAAGTAGAATAATTTTACTATTAACTTACTTCCATAACAGGATGTAAAATAAAAATATTAAAACAAAACGCTTAGAATCAATAACAAATAGACCAAAAACAACTTTTAGGTTTTTGGTAATTTAATAAAAAAATTATTTTCTAAAACTAAAACGTTATATAGATTTAATTATTTATTAGAATATTATTTATTACCAAAACAAATAGACCAAAAACAACTTTTAGATTTGTGGATCGGGTCGGGACGGGCCGGTCTGGGCAGGGTCTAATTTGTTTTTTTTATCCAACGGATCCACTATTATAAACCTAAGTCCTTTTTTTCCTGGCTTGACAGTTTGTCATTGCTGCCGGGCCTATACTCGGGCCGGGCTTGTCCATGGGTTAACTGGCCTAAAAAATATAACTCTTAATTAAAAAAAAACGTGGAACCAAAAAGTAAAAGGAAAACATCGCTACAATTAAAACTTTAAGCAACTATTAACTTTATATATCGTTAATCGATTAAGACTTTTGACATAAGGATGCTAGCAAAGATAATGTAGAGTCTTTTAGGTTCTCAAGAAAAACCAAAGAGTTTCAACTCTCATCCTATAACTTTAACTTTTTGACTTCCGAATTTGGAGTATCTTACTTTCACACAATTCACAGGGTCCCTGCAGGTGGGTCTTGCAGTCAAGCGACGCTATTATTGAACAACTTGGGGTCGGGTCTTTTTTTCGTTTTAATAATTTAATTTTAAAATATACTAGCTTAATTTTAATTAACAGTAAAAAAATATATTTTTATAAAACATAAACGAGTAGAACAGGTTTGTCCATGTTTATTTTTACCATGTCCGCCCGTTAATTCTAATGAACAAACTCGGGTCCGTCCATTTTCTCGATAATGGTTGTTCAAACCCGTATTTTTAGCGGGCCGGATGTGACGGGTCTAACGGGTCTCCCGTCCACGAACAACTCTAATTTACTGAAATACAACAAAATAAGCAATAAAACTTATAGCGAACAAAAAATTATCTCGTTCTCTCGGAACAACACAAATCCATAAAATAAAATAAAAACTAAATAAAATAAAAAAAAACCCGAAATAAAATTATATCACGTTGCATTGTAGAAGTATATTCTTGTATTATTTTCCCTATTTTCATGTTTATTCCATTTACTTCTATTTTTAAATAAATTTATTCCGTACACTTTTAGTTTAAACGTTAAAAGCGGGATAAGAATGGAAAAACACGAATTTGAAATGGCAACGGTATATTTCATTTAATAAATAATATTCTAACAAATAATCAAATATATATATATATATATAGAGGTTGGTTATTATACAACCCTTGTCATTTGTGCAACCAATACAACCCAATTTCAACCGTCCATTTCATTTGATTAATATGTAATTTTATAGAGGTTTTGATTATTTCATAATATAAAGTATTAATCATAATTAATGAACCGTATTCATCTTCCATAAATATTTAAATCATAATAATTGAACTCTAATTATTTCCATAAATATTTCAATTTATTGGGTTGCATTGGTTGTACAAATACGATAGGTTGTATTTGAAATAAACCATATATATATATATATATATATATATATATATATAT